AAGAAGAAGAAGAAGAAGAAGAAGAAGAAGAAGAAGAAGAAGAAGAAGAAGAAAAAGAAGAAGAAGAAGAAGAAGAAGAAATATTATGGGTCTATCTGTCTACTCCCTCCCTCGCTTTCACTCACTCTCTCCCCTCCCTCCCCCCTACCTCACCCTCTCCCACTCTCTCTTTCTCCTCTCTCTCTCTCAATCTCTCTCTCTCTCTCTCTCTCTCTCTCTCTCTCTCTCTCTCTCTCTCTCTTTCAAATTTGATCGAGGCTTTAAAGCGTGAGGTCACTATTCATGCTCTTCGAATAACGTGAGCGATTTTTTTTTCATATAATTATATAATAAGCCCATCCCTAACTTCTGCTATTCAATATTATTCACTAGGCTAACTATTCACAGGGCTATATATTACATTCCCATGAGTGCGCATGCGCTGGCAGGCAGCTTTACAATACGATTACCTCAATTCACCATTCAGGCGCTCGTCAATATAATGAAATCGAAGGAAATGGCTTTCTCTCCGTTTGGCAATTTTTATCGAATTATTTCCTTTTTTTTTTTTTTTTTTTTGGTCAACACCATTTACATGTTATATATGTCCGTTAAAAACACATTGCTTTGTGGCTTTTACTATAAAAAAAAGAGTAAATAAAGAAACGAAAAACAAATGTACCGTTCCCAAGGACTCTCTTTGGCGGCCATTTTCTCTCTAATGTAATATTAGCTTTGAAACCAGGTGCCCCCCATCTTCTTCAAACGCAAATATCTCAACTTGTATTGAAGATAAATGGATACTTTTTTCATCCAAAGCAAAGCAAGACGACTGAACAAGCTTCGAGATGATACTAATAACTCCATAATAATATGCCCAAAAATTGACGAGCGCCTGATTCCACCGCGTCATGACACGCTTTGAATTTCGAATAATATGGGACGGGGAGCTTGTTCAGACAGTTCCCTGTTAATATCTTGGAGAAAACACTATCTTCACGTCGCACTCGCACAAAGTCAAGTGCTCTTGACTTATACACAGTATTGTTTGTGAATATTTGAATAGCAATGAATGCTTTTTAGAGTCACGTTTTATAACTCATGTCTGCTCCACTTGATTTATCATTCCGTCTCATAAAAATACATTGTTGCTGCTTTACCTTAATGATTTGGAATCAGGCTTTCGTCAATTTTTGGGCGTGTGGAGTTATTGGTATCGTCTTAAAGGTTGTTCATTTGCCATGCCTTCGTGGAAAGAAAATTCCATTTCTCTTGAACACAGGTCGAGATATTTGCAATTGAAGGAAGTGGGGATAGCGTAGTTTCAGAGGTGGAATTAGGAAGAAAATGGCTACCAAAGTTTAGTTACATGTATTTACTAAACTGGAGAGTCCGTAGAAACGGACAGTTTACATTTTGTTGGTGCTTTAATTACCGTTTTTCTGTAAAATCCACATAGACATGGGTTCTTAAACGGACATTAACGGCATTTAGCCAAAAAAACATCTGGATAAAAAGTGCCGTACCGGTGCAAAAATGCAAGTTTCTTATTCATTGTTTAGACGAGCGCTTGATTTTAACCACGGTGCTTCTCAAATACTAAAACTGTCGTTTTCTGTTTTAAATGTCTAAATGGTACTGCACCTACTCATCTAAAACAATTCCTGGAATTATATCGTCCACCCAGAGCTCTTAGATCAGCCTCTCTTGGAACCCCAAAACAAAACAAACAAAAACCAAAACAAAAGCCCCCCAAAAAAACCCAAAAACCCCACACGGCGAGCCGTTGCTTTGTATTGTTCTTTGGTCCTCATGTTCCTGTATAGAACGAATTCCCACATCAAGTAAGGAGTGTCCCTAGTATTCACATTTCAACAAAAACGAGCTGTTATTCCCAAATGCATGCCTGTAAAGACTGTTGTATTATATTGATGTGTAGGCCCGACCGTGATGCTTAAGAAATAGCGTATGAGAATGAGGAAGAGAGAGAGAGAGAGAGAGAGAGAGAGAGAGAGAGAGAGAGAGAGAGAGAGAGAGAGAGAGAGAGAGAGAGAGAGAGGGGGGGGGGGGGGGGAGGGAGACAGAGAGAACGGAAATGTTTTTTTAAAAAAATATTTATATAGTACGAGTGTTTTTACTGAATGTTTCTTGCCATTCAAGTTTCAATTTTATCACGACTGTTTGTGAGTTTTGATTTCATACTACATAATGTATACTATTTTTTTTGGAACGCATTGCCAGGCTCACTGCGGGGCTATTTCTTTCATAGACAGTTTTATACATATAGGCTACATACATGTATATGTGAAGTGTGCTGACAAAATGAGTTACTTCTCGGATTCAGGTCTTACGGAAGTAGAAACATCATGCTTATAAGTGAAGTTTTACAATTTAAAGTATGAAATAATAAGAGGCATGTTATACATAAAAAATAGAGAATCAGTAGAAGATCTACTAATTTGACCTCGGTGTTGATTTTTTGCCAATATCTCCTTCTGTGGACTGCGAGAAGTAACTCATTTTGTCAGCACGACACACATATGCATAGAATCTAATAATGTTATATGAACACAATTAATGTCCATTATTAATGTAATGCGCATTGAGCAGTTTTTTAAATTATTATTTATCATGTCGTAGAATTTGGAGAGGGGCATTGATCGGCCCTTGTTTCATGTCTCTTCTGAAAATAGCAATATTATATTTAAAATGGTGAAATAGTTAGGTTTAACGCCCCTATCAACACTATTAGGCTATTTAAGAGGCCAGACCTCAAAGTTAAACGTCCATCTCCGAAAAGACCAGGCCAAGAGTGACGTTCGTGCAAAGTGCCTCCTTTCCCATGAAAATAACGTCGGACCGAGCTGAGGCTCGAACTCCCTAACCCGCGATCTCATGATTACACAGCAACACATTTAGCCGAATTATACGTTCATGTATTTTAACATAATGCCTTCC